TCTTGGAACTACTGCTAGCCCAGTGTCTCTTCCAATCCACTGTTTCTGCCAATCTTGTATAGCCTGAGACTGGTTCCCTCCCCAGGAACTGGGATGAACATTCCAGCCTGCCTTGTTCTTCCCTCTGTATTTTCTTCGGTTTCTTCAGTTTCCTTGTGAGTTCTAGTGTTCTTACTGACTCTTTCTCGATTACCAAAGCTCTTTTTTCTCTTCTCTTCACTAAGTTGTTTTCCAGGCATCATACTGAGGCTGTAATATGGTGCCAGTTTTCACACTATCACTTTCTATCCTCAGTGGTATCTTTAGGAAGTAGTCAGGCCATGAGAGCTCCTCCTTCAAGAGTTGGAATAAAGACCTTATACAAGAGGACTAACAGCTTGCTGCTCCGCGTTTTGCCATGGATGGACACAATGTTCCTCCCTCCAGAAGACAGAGCAACAAGGTGCCATTTGGAAAACAAAGAGCAGCCCTCATGAGACAAGGAAAGCTACAGGTACTCTGATCTGGAACCATAGAACCTTGGACTATAGAACTATAAGAAAATAAACTTCTGTTCTTAATAAACTACCCAGTCGATGGTGGGGTTTTTTTGTTGCTGTTTTTTTTTACAGCAACACAAATGGACTGTATTATGTGTTTTACTATAATAACAATAATTCAATCACATGGTCCTTCTGATATTCATCATTATATAGTATTTTAGCTGCATTAAGAATTGCATGTATGGCTGGGGAGATGGCTCAGTAGAATAAGTGCTTGCCTGGCAAGCGCAAAGGCCTGAGTTCAATCCCTGGTTCCACCAAAAAAAAGAATTGCATATGTGTTTCAGGTAGAAATTCCTTTAAAGTACTATTTTAGATTACACAGACTTTTTTCTTTCTCTAGCCTCTTCTGTCTTCTCTCGTTTTAAAAATAAGAACACAGGTGCCAGGGAGATGGCTCAGTGGAATAAGCGCTTCCCTGGCAAGCGCAAGGGCCTGAGTTCAATCCCCTGTTCCGCCAAAAAAAAAAAAAAAAGAAAAAAAAAAAGAACACAGATGCCATACAGGGTATGGTGCCTCCACCTGAAGAGGTAAGGCTACTTACACAGGAGCATCAGCTCCACCAGAAATTCAAGTTTCTACAGCACCGGGATGGGATACTTCTTTGGAAAGACTGGAAAACGAATACTGAGAATATACTTTTTTTTTTTTTCTGCAAGGCATAGGCCTCCTGAAATCATAAAAACCCAAATAACAAAAACACAAAGTCTGAAATGCAGAATCAGACTTAATGGACTATAACTTTTTTTTTTTTTTTTTTTTTTTTGGCGGAACTAGGGATTGAACTCAGGCCCTTGCACTTGCCAGGGAAGTGCTTATTCCACTGAGCCATCTCCCCAGCCCCTTGGACTATAGCTTTTAGTTCCACAGAAACACTTCAGCCAATATATGATTTTGCAAGTAGCTCTCATTTGACCTGCTTTTATGTATTTATGGTGTTTTTCATTGTTTTTTGTTCGGTTGGTTTCTTACCTCTTGTTCACATAGGCCTTATGTAATTTAAGGCAACTTATTCTCTTACAGAAGTATTCTGCCCACTTAACTAACTTTGTAATGATAATGAGCAAAGCCACTCACTGGTAAGTGTATTTCTAAACAGGCTGATAGTTGAAGACATGGTCAAAAGTTCCACAGAAAGAATTCAGAGTATCCCTTAATTAAAATCAGAAGTTATTTATCAAAATGTACATAAATGCTGCATTTTCATCAGATTTTTTCCCATCCTTGATGACTTCAGATTAAAAAAATCAATGATTTCCTCAAAAAGTTGAACATGAAGTTATGGTATGACCTAATAATTCCACTTTTAGATACACAACCAAGAGAGCTTAAAACATGTTCACAAAAACCTTATACATAAATTTTCATAGCAACATCAATTACAGACAAAAAAAATGGAAACATCCCCAGTGTCCGTCAGCTGATGAGTAGATAAATGTCACAGATCCCTACCATACTATTTAGCCACAAAAAGGAAATTAAATTTTAAATAAGCCTTGAAAAACATTATGTCATAAGAAATAAGCCAGACACGAAATGCCAAATGTTGAATGATTCCACTTATCTGAAATGTCAAGAGCAGGCAAATCTATTATGATTTTGTTATACCTATAAGGCTTCCTTGAGAAGTAGGCTTGTTAGCAACCCATTCGGGACCCCTCCTGTCTTTCACAATGTATTCCTATTTCCGATCACTTTTCCTAATACAGAAAAAAAGAAAAATAAAGAGAGACAAGGTAGATTAGTGATTAATGGGGCTGGAGAAATAAATAATGGGTAACAGGTGTTTTGGGGGTATGATGAAATTGGTCTGAAATTATGTAAGTGATGGCTGTGTAACCATGAAAACACTGAATTTGAATTCTGATTTTTACACTTGAAAAGGATAAATTTAAGGTAAAAACATTTTTCCTGGCTACATGCCTGACATTCTTTTGCATCATTCTCTAAGCTTTATGCGCTCATATTAAAATATAAAATTGCTCCCAACTATCGCCTTTACTTCAGGATCCAAATTTACACCTAGTTTTTCAGCTGGAAAACTCCAATTTCTTTCTTCTCAGTGTCATGTTAATTAGTCAAAAAAGGCAGCACTCTTGCTTAATAAAAAAAAATGGTCTACAATTCTTGAATACTCAATTCCTGCCAGCCATTATGCTAGATAAACATATAGTATCTTTAATTTTGTCAATAATCACACATTTTATACAAAAGGGAACTGAAGGTCATGGGATTAAATATCTTGTCCTCCAGTCTCTTTCCAATCTGTTCTGCACCCCTTAGCCAGTGCTTTTCCTAAAACTATGGATGATCATGTTACTCCCCATGTGAACCACTTGAAAGGCCTCCAACTGTTTAAAGTCTAAGCACTTTAATAGAGCCTAGATGACTTTCAGAATCCTTTCCTCACCACTCCTCACACCAACTTCCTTGAGTTCCGGGATCATGCCAACACCCTTTCTCCTCTTACCTCTAGCTTCGGCATAGGGATCCCTTGTCTGTTCACGCAGAGGTTTACTCTGTGCTTGGCAGTGTGTCTGCTACGGGATACAAAGAAACACATAGTTCTGTCTTCAAAGTACCTATAGTCTCCTGGGTTAAGCAAGTAATTACAGATGGGGGTAAGTAAAAGAGAAAAACAATTGGGGGAGTGTGCAGTAGGGGAAACCCTCAGGAACTACTTTAGGTAAGTTGGTCTCAAAAGGTCTCTGGTGATGACATACTCTGAAAACAAGTTAAGAAGTCAGCTAACATGAAAAATAGGAGGAAGATGAGTGACAAGAGACACTGCCAGGGACATCAGCAAGCCCAGACTGTGCATTCTTGTAGGAAAGTTAGGAATCTGGTTTTTATTTTAGGTTCTAAGTGCAATGAAATTTTTTTAACAGAGAAAGTGTCTCTTATTGCAGTCCTGGGGTTCAATCTACGGCCTTGAGTGTGCGCCACATGGGTTCTACCACTAAGCTTCATCCTCTGTCCTTAAAGAAGTATCATATTTTGCTGCTAAATGGACAACACACTAGAGGAACAAAAAATGAGAGAAAGAGACACCGGTCAAGAAATAGTTTAGGTAAAGAAATGTAGGTGGTTTAGACTACCATGTGATAGTACTAGAGGACTGACGAGGGAGATCAATTAGATGCAGAACTAGGTCATCAGCATAAAAAAGAAGAGAGATGAATTTTGGAGGAATTATCAACAGAGAAAGTTAGAAAGTAAGCTTACTAGAGAACTAGAAGGATCACAGGCCCATCCTCAATGTTCAAAAGGTGGGACATTTTCATTTTATACCATCACCAATTTGTGAAGGATATTTTTCATTGCTACCGGAACGAACCTAAGGCCTTTCACATGCTAGGGAACTTCTCTACAATGGAGCTATATACCTCCATTCCCAGGCAGGATTTTTTTCAGCAAACTTTGGCCAGATAGGTATCTGTAAAGAAAGTAAATGGATAGGTTTATCCTGAGTAAGAGTTCTTTTCTCCAGAATAAGATTCATAAGAAGACAAGAGAACAGTGTATTTTCAAATGACAGTGTATAATGATAAACCATGAGAAGCACTCCAAGCTGGATAAGCACAGTGGACAGACAATAGAAAGATCAATGATGCATAAAAAGCAAGAAAACTTAGAAGCAGGAGAGAAGAGCAGGACATTACAGTTTCTTTATTGGGAATGGGAAGCTCCTCCTCTTGGCGAACTGCTCTCCAAACACATACACCCTGCACTTTCTGCTCCCAGTTTTCCAGAGTCCCTGAGCCAGTGACTGTCTCATCTAAAATCATAAAAGCCGGCCTCAAGCACTCTCTCCTTGAGGCATTTCCTTTTTTCCAGTGGGATTCCTCCTGCTGAAGATGGCCACCTCTCAGAGAGTGTGTACTACGGATAGGATAGTACTCTAGATACCACAGATGAGTCATGCTGTTTTTTTCCTTTGTAGGTTTTTTACCCACGGTAAGCTCCAGACGAAAGACACTCTTATAAACACTCAAAAGTCTGTCGACCCCATGGCAGTTTAACTAAGCAATGGGTGCATGGTGCAGTCATTCCCTAACTGCTAACGGTCACCTCCAGCTCATGGGCTTGCAAACCTCACTCACTTGCTAAACCAGGGTTCCACAGAAAATAAGTAAAAGTTCATAAAACCTTGCGCACAGAAATCCCAATTTATTTCCAGTTATCTCAAGGGGTGGACTCCACTGTCAAGTTTAATTGTAATCCACTCTTTCAAAACACCCCGTGCGGGCACGCAACAGCACTGCTAGGACGAGGGAAGACGGGGCCTGAATATCCAACAAAAATCTGAATACTGTATTACGATTAGAGGAAGATCACTGTTACTAAAATCTAGCCATTCTCCACAGCCCAATGCAAGAACCCAGAGACCCGGAATGGGGCCAGAAGACTCATCACGCACCGGGCTGCTCCAGCTTCTCGTCTCAGCCTAGCACTTACCTTCGTCGCCCGAAGCTCCAGCTGCAGAGGTCAGACGAGGGCTCTCCCGGGTGCCCGCTGCCATGGTTACAGGGAGGCCGCCTCCACGCGAACACAGGTAGCACCCGGCTGCGAGGACCGCACGCGTCCCCGGAAGGACTCGCGGTGCCGCCACAGGGGCTCGCCGGAAGCGGCGCTCCCGGTCACGTGACGGCGCGGGGCGGGGCCACGCCGGTTTGTTTTGGTCCGCGGAGCTGGCGCGGCTTCCAACACGTGCTCCGGCGTGGGGCGCGGCCCGCTAGCCCGCAGCCCACCTATTTGTCGTGTGGCCGCATCTTTGTTGCTGGTTAATCCTCGCTTTCTAGTCGGTGCTTCTTTTCCACCGTTGCGTTCCTCACCCAGTAGGACTGGAGCGTTAGCGTGCTCTCGCTTCCTCCCACCCCGCGGCCCTTTCAGCCGCGAGGTGACTGTAGATTGGATTTCTGGGCAGCCCAGGAACATGAAGCTCAGACACGGTGTCCTTTAACTGCATTCCCTGTGACTCATCCCTTAATCCAAACAAGCATAGTTGCTGGACTTCGGCTTTCAAGGACACTGCCACCTGTCAGGCTTCAGGGTTTGTTTATCAAAACAAACAGCTGCCCAGCCGCTGGCTGGGGGGGGGTCCCCAACCCCACTCTTACTAGAGCACCCTTCCTCTAGCCCAAATCGTAAGAGGGATCTAGGATACTGCGGAACACAGATCTTCCAACCCTAATCAACATCTTTAGTCCTTGCCTGAGTGACGGGCAGATATTATCTTCCGTGTGTATTATCACTAATTTGGCTACTCTGTAATCTCACTGGGTTTGTGAGGTACAAAATAAACAACCGATACAACAAATTACAAAACCAGGTAGCATTTATTTACACACAGAAATTATCTGCCTGACTATCTTACATCGCAATCTTATCGTATCTTTCCGGATTTCCGAAGATAAAAGCCCAATTAAAAAAATAAGTCACCCCAACACAGAAGCAAGCATTATTAGGTTGGTGGCCCGAGGTCACCGGGTTGTTTATCAGGCGAATGATGTAAACTTGGGCACTTCCTCCCGCACCCCCAACTTGCTCAGCCTCCGCCGCCGCAGCCTCGCGGGCGCTTCCCTCTGCCGCCGGCTGGCCGTCCTGTCGCCCCGCAGGCCGCGGCCGGGTCGGGCTCCGCTCCGCTCCCCTC